ACACAAACACTCTCAACACCCCTCTCCCCCCCTCCCACAAATCCTAAACAACCCACCCCCACACACACACACAAATCACCCCTGGCCGCGTCTGTAGTAAACTAAACCCCCACAACCCTCTCCCCGGCACCATAATTTCACGGATGGCAACAAACTACAACAACCGAGCTTCCTCCGGGACACGATAAAATCACACTGGCGAGGGGGGAAATCACTGGCGAGGGATGAAAACTGAAAACACCGGGGTTTGCTGGCATCGAACAGGAGCACTTAGAAAGTGAGATAAGAACCTGTCTCAACGGAAAGTAAGCCGCTCACCTTCCCAGACCTGGGGCCGTGCATGCTAGGAACGGTATGAGTATGAGAATAAACACTTAAGAGTTAGAGCTGGGCGAAGAACTTTTACTGATTCTGGGACCGATCCCGGAACCGATTCCAGAACCAATTCGGGAACCGATTCCTACGATTAGTGTTGCCCTGCGGAAGAAAAGTTCCTACTCCTTTTAAAGTAAACCAAAGGTTACCAATTACATTGTACTTCATTTATCAACATTATCTTTTTTGAAAGAGTTTATTTTATAAAACACAAAAAAATGTTGGTGCCTCATCGTGTTCCCAAATCGAGATCCTCCGGAATCCTGACGCTGTTCGGGCGGAGCCCACCTACCAGGTAACCAGTAACTGGATAAGTTTTGAACTCATCAGAAGTAATTGCTACTCGCCGTAAGTAATTTCTAATCGTCAGAAGTAATTGATCCATAATCCCCCAAAGTAATCTTGGGATAATTGTCTAGAAGTCGGACTCAACAGAAATACTCACTAATCGCCAGAAACAAATAATTGTATTATCCAGGGGTTGGAACTACTGGAAGAAATCGAGGACTCCCTGGAAGAAGTCACATCGGTATAACGACTTACTTTACTTTTACTTTCCCGATCCAGCGGTCATCTGGGTTCTAGCTCTAGCCCTTCGGCCTGTCGATATGGCAAAGAATTACAATTTAGAGGTTTTTATCAGCTGTGTATTGTCGGTGTATAAAGTATTATTTTCGGATGTCTATGTATGTATGTACAGTATAGGGTTTTACGGCGCTCGCAACTGCTAAGGTCATATTCGGATATCTGGGGAGGCAGGTAGGTATTACGACGTACGTAATTGGGTTCGGAACCGATTCCTACGATTCCAAGCTTTCCATAATCG